CTTCATACATGAAGTTATAATAATAATAATAATAATAATAAATGTTTTTTCACCTTAAACCACAAGTTACATGTCCTTGCTGCTTTGTGTCTTTAGGTGTATTTCGAAAGCATTTTCCCCAGTACTCTTCTACAGTTCATGGAAAGGTTTATGTCCCAATGCTTGTAAGCATCTCATGAAAACTATCCAGTGTCCAAGAATAATGCAGCTGAAGTGCAAGAAGAAAAACTACCACCCTGACCTGTGCTTTCTCTTTATGTGTGTTTTTTTCCCCTTCTTCTTCTTCTTCTTCTTATAACAGAGTTCTTTTTATTATTCCAGAAATAGGGTTTGTGTAGGACTGGATCCCAACACATTGAACCTTATAAAATTTCAGTTGCTTTCATTCTGGAACAAAATGGCCGTCCCGTGTGTGGTTTTGAGGTACATAAGGTGGCATGTGTATAAGAGATGGGGTTTTCAACCGCTCTTAAACCTGGTATCCCCAAATGACAGCAGACTAGACCCCTAAGGCATTCCAGCACGCATAACTAAAGACTGGATTGGAGTATTGTTACACACACACACATACACACAGGTTTGACACCAAATGTCGTCCACAATGTGATAAAAACCTGTTATTATTTTTCCCATAGAAATGAATGAGCGTTCCCCATAAAGATATGGTTACCCGACATCTGTGTGTGTGTGCACGTGTGCTCATACATGTGCACTTTTCAGTGTGTGCTTCTCTATATGTCACTTTTTTTTCTTTTGCTCTGGTTTATCTCTGGCTGAGGAAGGTGTGCTTTTATCTTTTCAGAAGTCTCATAGTCCTTTGTTGCCTTTGCTCACAACCACGCGTCAGATGAATGGAAACTCTGATAAATAGCCTCTTGGATAGGAGATAAGATTCTTGCTCTCAAATACCAGGCCAAGACAGGGAAAGTGGTGATAATGCTTGGCTGTTTAATGTAAAGTCAGACTCCTTAACATCTAAAATGACACTTTTTGAGAAAGTTTGCAAGACTTTTTGAGCTGTGCACTGAATTTCAGCTTTTCAATAATAAAGTGGAATTTGACACAAAGCAAAGTCTCATTTCCATGTATAGTACTCTTTTTTATCAAATAAACCGACATATAGGGAAAATAAGTAGAGATGCCTTTGGGTTGCATTTATACTATTAAACATTAAAAATATCATTTTATTCAGATGATCGGGTGTGGTGTTTGTATCTGAATCTGTTCAACCAACAAAATCGCATATCAATCAATATATCTCTGGAATGGATATGTTTTAACCCAGAAGTGTGCAATTTTGTGAATATTTCCACATGAAAAAGCCTTGTAAGAATACATGTAACTCTTATATTGATTATAAGTTGAATATGTTGCAACAAGTGCACATATACAGTACAATCCATATGTGGCTACATATGTCATGACCTGCTTGTACAGTATGATCCTTCCGTGTGCCACGCCCCTCTCGTTACCTCGTGTGCATTCCTGATTGTATTCAGCAGCTTCGTGTTATTTCTGAGTAGTCCTGTGTATTTAATTCCGCGTTCAAGTCCGTTTCCCCAATTCCGTCATTGATGTCTTTACCGCGTGTCTGCCTGTTTGCTGTAATAAATCCCCTGTTCATCGGACTTCGGTCTGCCTGATTTTGTTTCCGCGTCTCCTGCTCGCTCGCCCGACACGCGGACCTGACAACATATACAGTGCCCTGCAAAAGTATTGGAACACTGTAGCAAGGGCAATTGATTTGTTTTTGCTATGTACTGTACATTTGTGTGTGAGATCAAAAGATGAATGTAAGAAGACAGATCAGAGTTTCAGCTTTTGTTCCCTGGTATTAACATCTAGATATGTTGAACAGCATATAACATAGCACGTGTTGTATCAAACCACCCAGGTTTTCAAGTGCGTAAAGTATTTAAAGAGAATGTTTTAAACTAAATTGTAGTCAAAAATTCTTAAAATTTGGTTGCATATCTCTTGCTTGCAACAACGGCATCAAGCCTACGACCCATAGACTCCGGCAGATTTCTTGTTTCTTGTTGATTATGCCATTCCAGGATTTTACCAAAACATCTTTTAGCTGTGTTTTGCGGGATTTATTCCTTCATGAAGGTACAATGAATGTTCCAAAGATCTGGTGATTGACTTGGCCTGCCCAAAATCTTAAAATTTCCCCCCAATGAAGTCCTATGTTGAGCCTGTGGTGCTTTGGACCACTGTGTTGCTGTATAATAAAGTTCCTCCTTATTAGCTTGGATGCATTTCTCCATAAATTGGCAGACAATATGTTTCTTTAGACTTCTGAGTTCATTCTGCTGCTACCATCATGTGTTACATCATCAATAAAAATGATTGAGCCTGTTCCACAAGCAGCCATGCAAGCCCAAGTCACACAGATTAGCTTGTATGTTTAGAATCATAAGCAGGTCCCTTCTTTCGCCATACTTTGGCCTTTTCATCAGTTTGGTAGAGGTATATCTCATCAGTCCATAAAACTTTTTTCCAGAACTGTTGTGGCTCATGTCTGTACTCTTTTGCAAATCCCAGTCTGACTTTCCGATGTTTACTGCTGAAAAGTGGTTTGCATCTTGCAATATGGCCTCTATATTTTGTTCTCCAATCATCTGTGGATTGTGATATTACTCCCGATTCTCGGCAGTCGACGAATTAGTGAGTTCAGCACATTCAGTTGAATCAGTTACAAGGCAATTCTCCTTAAGACCTCTATCTATCTATCTATCTATCTATCTATCTATCTATCTATCTATCTATCTATCTATCTGTCTGTCTGTCTGTCTGTCTGTCTGTCTGTCTATGTATCATCTGAAAGGCTTTGGCCTTTTGGTAATGTATTTAAAATGCGTGTAATTACATTGTTGACCTCTGGTATGACTTATTTAATTGATTTTGTTTAGCATAAGTGACTAAGCCTTTGGTGTTGCATTCCCCTAACCCTATTTTTCCAAATGTCCATTTTAGTACTCAATTTTGGTAAACGCGAGGATTTTCAGGAACATATTCGTTGTATTATAGCAGGATTGACCATATATCAAATTTTTTTGGGACTTAGTTGGCTCCATAAAGAAATGCTGAAGACAGACACTGTTATTAGTGATGGGAATAACAGCCCTTTGAAGGAAGTCGGATATTATGGCTCCATTCCTCCGAGAGCTTTTCAAAAGAATGGCTCATCCTTCCTTTATTTCTTAGGGGGTGATGGTAACTAGGTTTATCTGTAAAGAAATCACTAAGATAATGGTAAGGTTTAGATCAGATTCAGACTTAAATATCCCACCAATATAATTTCAGTTTGCATGTGTAGAGTAGGCTTAGCAGTACTATATTACTCATATTGCCAATCCTAATGTCAATGATCTGCATTGTAAACATTACACGACTTCTACTTTGTCAGTGAATTCACTACTTTGAATTTACCCTCTGTATGAAATGTGTTTTGTAAATATAATTACCTTCCCTGTAAGGCAATTCAAGCAACACTTAGTATTAGAAAAAAATGTCCTGCTCATTCTTGCCTATAAGAAATACAACCCGACGACGTCTAACTCTTGTTCTCACTGTTTATGTGCAGTTGAAAGGATATAAGGCAGACAGCATAATTTAGCACAATGATAAAAAGGACAACTCTCAAGTACGAATCGGTTTGCTTAGTTTGTACCAAGGAGCCGTTAAAAAGAACTGGATTGTTTGCAAACGTAACATCACTATTCATCAGTAATGATCAGATGTCGTTTTTGGAAAGAACACATACTTGTACCAGATACTCATTTCGACTGGATATTCAACTCACCTCTAGTGTACATACATATGTTTGTCTGCTTTTGTGTAGTTGTATTCCTGATTTGCTGATGTATTGCAGTACAGTACTTGGCTGGAAGTTCAGGGTTATTCATATTGGCAGTAGTGAGGTAATATTGTCTGCATGCCAGTGTAAATTACAACCATGCCATTCTTGCTGAGAGGCAAGGGGAAAGTGAGCTATTCCAGAGCTTCCTCTAAAGATTTGACCTGTCAGGTAAATAAAGAATTGACAGTTATTATGACAGAGAACAATGCAGATAGAAGAGCAGGTTTTCAGCGTTGCATGGTTAGATTTTTAACTTTTCATATCAGGCTGTGTCACTGTTCAAAAGGCATTTTGCTAACCCTTGTATTTGTATATGTATATATAACTTGGTGTTTGTATATAATCTCATGCTAAAATGTCTTATTTTCATTATTAATTCAATTAATTAATATTGTAATGCTTTGCTTTAGTACATTTGCCCCTCTTCCAACCAGTAATCCAGTACATGGTTGTGAGATACATAATATCTTAACCCCAAGGACAGTAATTAATATATTACCTTAGGAATCGGTAGACATTCAGGTACAGTATATAAACTAAGTTAAAAAATGGCGGTTCATTGACATAGAATTCTACAAGTTTGGCTTCTTATAGTGAAAAGCAACATTTTGAGCTAAATTGTGCAAGAATTTTAATTTCTATATTAATATTTTATTTTGCCAGTAATCAAAAATAAGATGTTCAATGACAACAGGTAACACATTACTCCTGAGGGCATGAATTACTTAGTAACTCATTTACTACTCAAGTACAAATCATGAACAAATAAATATGGTAACTCATGAACCATTATGATGGATTAATGATAAATAAACATGGGATCAGTATATAATTAGTGATATTATCACTGATTCAATAATACATTAAGTAACAGTTAATTTTTTGTGGGCCCACAAGTTACCATTATTATGTATAGCCAAAAAATGCCAGTATACCATTCATCACATTAAACTGGTTTATCATATACATTTTTCCTGACATCAGTTTTGGCAACAACATTTATCCGGTTAAAAGGTTAATCCACCATGCTGTTTAGTAATTTCACCATTGAAGTAAGTGCTCCTTTGTTTAGAAATAAATGTCAGGTTTCATGTGGCATAATCTTAATGGTGCTCATTTCATGTCTCCCTTTCAGGGCTTTGAATGCAGTATCTACTGAAGATGGCGAGTTATCCAGAGCACTTTATCTTTTCCGCCAGTGGACAGACTTGGGCTTAACAAATGTCTACTTGGCCAATTACAGCGTTCTGCTCAGTCTGCCTGGCTCTTCTCCTGGCACAATCACTGATAAGGCCAGCAAAAAATGTTACCTTCCTGACGGGAATGCTTGCAACACTCTGAATCTTGAGACCATCTCCAGTGACCAGTTTTTCTCCTTCGCTGCCTATTCTGCCACCGGAATCCTGGAGGTATTGATCAGTATTCTTGCGCTTAAAGAAAAATGTCTAACACATTTGTGAATTAGAACACTTACACAACCTCACTTCTACATGTACACTTTCTCCTGAAGGTTTATGTAGTGTGTGTGCAGGTTTTTGGGGTAACCTTTAGGTCACCTGTTCAAACCCGGGTGTGAGGACTCTTCAGCCAATCAGTCCTCTAATTAGTGACCTAATTATGGAGCTGCAGCGAAAACCTGCAGACACACCGGCCCTTTGCGGATAAGAATGCTCACCCCTGGTCTACACCAGTATATATATATATGACCATTGCACATTGTTCATCAACATAGAAGGAATCTAGATTCAATGGTTATTTCAGAACCATGTATTACAGAATAATGGAGATTAATTTCTCCACTCTTTGAGTGTTGTGTTGTAAACTGACAGAAAAAGGATATCAGGAACCGACATGCGAGGTGTGTAATATTCAGTTTGGAGAAATAAGGAAAAATTGCTGAGTAGCTAATTTTATATTCACCAGGTTTTATATGCAAGTTTTCCTAAAAACAAAGAACCACTTATCTCTTTTCAGCTCTCTTTGTAATATAAATGGGCTGAATCTTAGGGTTAACAAAATGAATATTAATGAACATTAAATATTTTTGTTGGAATCCCCTTTATAAGATATACACAGGTGGCAAATTGATAAAAAATGCTTTTCTTTATCAGGGTGGTAAGTATAGCTATGGAAGAAACTACAAAATTTCCTAAAAAGAAGCTGAAGCCTTACCTAGTGCAAGTTCCACTTTTATATCAGGATGCACCCAGCAATGTACAACCCAAAGCATTGTAATTTATTGGCTGAAAAAATCCATAATCATAATATAAGGGGTACATAATTTGTCAAAGTGATATTACTTTTATTATGACAAACTTCAGAAACATTCGAAATTCAGTAGAAAAAAAATGTCTTGTAGGTAAAAAAAAGCACGTAAATCATTGCTGTGTTTTATTGATTCCCACAGGTTAAGTCTACAAATCTTAATATGCTATGAGATTATGTATTTTAGGCATTAAATTATTACAAGGTACCCCCCTCCAGAAATGTGCACACACTTACCACAGTTCCATGTTTTATTACAACACCCCAAGTGATTAAAAGGCAACATTTTTGAAGTATCCACTGTATATGCAGCTTCTGGTTCTTGCTCAGTGTAAGAGTCTGGTACAACATGTCTTAAAATTCTTGCACAATATTTCCCATGCAAGTTGAAGTGTGTGCAGATTGTGTATATTGCCTGAAAGTTAATAGACTTGACGTTTATATAAAAGCTTCATTTGTCTATTCACTTGATCCCCCCACACAAACAACTTATGAACAGGCAGCAGTGTGTGAAATAAGAGTGTGTTCTCTTGGCACAAATGTGATAGCTTGAACTAGAAACCCTGCTGAGTGAGTGGAAATACCAATGAGGGCAAAATGTGCATCCATGCTTTACAGCATACTGAAGAAATCCTTTACAGAAATAGGGGCAAAGTTTTTGTAAATATCTATTGCCTATATCCGTGGTGCTCAATTGGGGGACCCCAGACTGGAACACAATTTAGTACAAGCATGTGTACCACCCCCCCCAAGTCGTCAAAATCTACCATGGGGGACCATTGGGGGCACTGGGCCTTGGCTTTGTGTAGCTGATGGAATCTGGGTGTATGTAATGGAATTTGAGGTGTATGTAATGGAATCTGGGTGTATGTAATGGAATTTGAGGTATTTAAATAATAGCTGTTACTTCTGTGTTTGCTGGCAAGACTCTACAGGTCTACATCTGGTCAAACTGATTCCTGGGCTGTATAAAACACAGTTATGATTGTTTTTTTTTGTAGTTAACAGGATGGAAAGCCACCCCAAAGACTTGAGTATTGATAATCATACAGTGTATAACAGACTATTTGCTATTTTGGTTCTGATCAAAATGTCCTTATAAACCATAACACAAATTCACTAGACATATTAGAAGAGCAGACAGTTGTACAAGTGTATTTGAAAAGAGTTCTCTGTGTGGTGCTTTGTTTTTGAATGAGGATAATAGCCCCACACCACCTCCTATCAGGCTCACATGCATGGCTGACACTGCCATATTAATCATTGCAGCATAACAGTGTGGTCAGATTTTCATTAGTGTTGAATTAGATTTGATTTTATTCAAGCAAAATATAGTAACATCTTCGAATGCTGTTTAATAAAAGTTTAAGGTTAAGGTATGGTAAAAAAAAGTACTTAAAACTCCATATATTCATGATAATATTTCTCATGCTGATGGAAAAATAATTTTACTTTTTCTCTGATCTGCTGATCGTTCTGAGTGGAGAATAGCGGGAGTTTGTTTTATGCACAAGTTAATACCCTGACCTGGAAAAGTAAACAGCTCAATCTAATACATTTGTTAGAACCTACTTAGTTGTATTTGGTGATGGCCTAATGGTTAGGGAGTTATGTTTGTGATTGAAATATTGCACGTTCGATTCTCTGACCAGCAAGGTGACACTAAGGTATGGGTACCCTGAGCAAAGTACTGCTCCCTGGGTGCTGAAGAATGGCTGTCCATTGCTATGTCGCATATTGGTTAAATGCAGTGGACGCATTTTACTGTCATGTGCTGTGATGTGTCAACAATGACAGTTAATCTCTTTCATTCTTTCATTTCACAAAATCCAGTTCTTCAATTGTATTTTGTTCTGTGATTTTTAAAAGAAAAGTGCCATGAAGAAATGTTGACAGTGGTAATAAAGCTCATATTTCCCTTGTTCCTCCATATGAAAGAGATTTCTGCACGGACATATTTGTGTTTCTAGTTCTTATGATAAATGAAATGTATTCAAGTAATGCAGCATCTTCTGTAGTTTAGGTTCGTTTGTGTTTGGGACGTCATATATTTGTGTTCAATACCGCACAGCGATGCAGTGTGATTTTATTTAACTGTGCCTCAGGATCACAGAACCATGAAAGCTGAATAACGCTTGGTTATAGCATAGTTATAACATAACTTAAAACATGTAAGGTATACGGTATAAATGAGCAATGATTATCCCTATACCATTGAGAAAGATTAGTGTAGTTTGGTTATCCAGCTAGTTTTGTCGCTGTGGTAAGTGTGCATATGTGTTCAGTTACCCTCTCATTTCCTAATCACCTCTGAATCCTTAGGGTTTCTGCATTGCAGTGTTGACCCCTTGCAAACAGAAGGCACGGCAGCCTGTTTCCCTGAATAATTAGCGCTCGGGCTTGGCAAATTTTCAGTACCAGCACAGTACATTGAGATCCGTATTGGTAACGGCTTCAGCAGATCCCCGGTGCATGCATTTTTAATAATAATTCTGCACTACCAATATGTTATTACATTAAAGTGCATGACCAGAAAGAAAAAAAACCATATGTAATCTTGCAGAATGCTTGGTTACTCTCAGAAAGGGTTGGTTATTACAATGTGTCAACTCTTCATCACTGCATCCTTAGCAAAGACCTTTAAAATTGTATTAATAAATACTGTTGGGACTGTCTAAGTGGTGTCATTTCCACTTTCTAACGTGACACATTGTCGGCTTGAAGTACTCACATTAGCTCTTGGTTCTTGACTTGCCCCTGAAGTACGGCCAATTCATTTGTCACACATTTGCCTCACACATTTGTCAGGTTATAATATGGTAATTATGCTCTAAGTTGCCATTGCATGCTCTCTGACATATTCACAATACGTTCCTCTCAGCACCGGTAATACTGTGTTGCAGTTTTACTTGTGGTATTAGAGATAACATTAAAGCTTTTATTTTTAGTGCTCATTATTTTTAAAAAAGACTAAACAAAATATTGTTCTCTGTTCTGTAATTATAATATAAATATTGGTTAAATGTCATGTACGCACATAGCTTTGTCATTTCAGAACAGCATAGCTATGCACAGTGCAAACACTAGGCATTTTTTTTCCAATAAAGGGTCAAAGACATACAACAAGGTGTCATCAAATTGTAGAAAACAAAACTAGAACAGAAGAAAGAAAAAAAATAACAATAACCAACCAAGGCAGGCTGGGGGGACACCACACCAGACCAGCTCAGAGACCCATCCCCAGTGCACTGGGGGGCCACCACACCAGACCAGCTCAGAGACCCATCCCCAGTGCACTGGGGGGCCACCACGCCAGACCAGCTCAGAGACCCATCCCGGTATGCCGGAGGACCCAACACAAAAGGTGTAACAAAGTGGTATCTTTGGAAGTGGAGAGATTAGGGGGCTGGTGACAGTCAATATCAGAAGTAAAAAAGGGAAGAGAGAAAGAAGGGAAGAGAGAGAGAAAGAGACAATAAATAAAATATTTCAACCATCAGTAAAGCTTAATGCAAGTATAAACATTAATACTAGTATGCAAAGAAATGAAAGGAGGGAAAGAAGAAGAGAAAAAAGGTAATAGAGTAGGTGCTTCATAGGTAAGTATAACAGTGAGGTGTCCAGCATGTAAGTGCCAGATGAATAATGACAAAATAATGATGCTAATAATAATGATGACAACCAAAGTAGAATAAAAAAAAGAAAATGAATAAAAAGGAAAAGGGGGTGTGATTGAAGTAATACCAGATGTTATTAACTGTAGAAGTCCTACTAATGGAGGGGGAGGAAAGAGATTGAGTGTGTAAGTTGGTTTGCGTGTGTGTGCATACATAAAGAGTTTGGTAGAACAGTGGTTACTAAATGTATGTAGGAGCAAAGCCGGTATGAACCACGCAGACTGACATTGAAGAGGTTGGGAGGAGCATTGGATATGACAGTAGAGGGGACCAAGACTGGATTCTGCTGGGTGATTTGGTGATAATGGAGGTGCAGAGACTTTCCAGAGTGAGAAAATCATTTAAGAGATTTTTCCAATGCATAATGCTTGCTTTTTTTCTCGTTTTCCAGTTCAAGAGAAATATGTTTTTGGCGACAGCTAGAGCCACGAGGAGAAGTCTGTAGATTCCTTATTTAAGCTAACAGATGTAGCAGCCCAGAGAGAGTGATGGTGAATTTATGATATCTTCCCAAAAATGGTAGGCAGGTCTGCATAGGCAGAAGGTGTCTGGGACGTTAAGTGTGCATTGCGAACAGATATCAGACTGTGCTAATCCCATTCTAAACATCCTGTGACCAGTGAAATGGACTCTGTGGATAACCTTGTATTATATAAGATGAATGTTTGTGTTATTACTCATTGTGAATGTATTTTTACAAATGTTAGTCCAGAAGTCTGGGTCCCAGTGAAAGACACATGCTGTTCCCACTTAGAAGTTGGGAGGGAGCATGTCAGAGCATAATTTGAAAGAATTTTATAAATTTTAGATTGCAGTTTACTTTTGATGGTGATTTTGAGAAAGTCTGAGATCAGTGGGGGGAGATCTAAATCAGTATCTATGAGAATTTTAGATCTAACAGAGGATTTCAGTTGAAGATATTTGAAAAACCGTTGACGGTCCATTACAAATTTCTGAACCAAGAAGGGGAATGAGACAAAAGTATTGTTCTGAAATATATCCCTGAGATGGATAATCCCCCAGTAAATCTGGGTCTCTGAGCTGGTCTGGTGTGGTGTCCCCCCAGTGCACTGGGGATGGGTCTCTGAGCTGGTCTGGTGTGGTGGCCCCCCAGTAATCCCTTTGTCAGACCAAGACTTGAAGTGAAGTGGTTACCATTCACAACTAAATCTGGGGTATTCCAAATTGGGGGGGGGGGGTCTTAGAAGGTAGAAAGAGGGTCTTGGTGATTTGGTGGAGTCTCCTGCGATTGACGGACACTTAAATCATGGGTGACGCCTAATGGACTGGCTGAGAAAAGGTAAATCAGAGATATAAATTTGATTACATAGTGTCTGCCCAATGTCAATCCAGTTCTTATCCAGTGGCTGATTATTAATCCATCTGATGATATACTGAAGTTCGCTGGCTAGATAGTAATGCCTTGGAATTTGAGTTTTTGAAGCATAGTCAATTTGATTCTGGGTTTTTTATTTTTCCAATGCAACTTATTAATGATTAAGTCCAGGGTTCTCGGCTAATTGGCGGTTGGTTGTAATGAAGTCATTGTAAATACATCATTCATTTTTGGAAGAGCAGGCATTTTTATCATTGCAATCCAGCTTATGGGTGATACTGGTAGATTCATCCGTCGTTGGAGATCATCAGCAATAGTCTTAAGTTTGATTATTCGTTTTAGAGAGGAGAATGAATTTTGTAGGAAAAGTATAATATCATCGGTACTAATCTAACTAATTTTTTTCTTACGCCTGGGAAAAATAGTCATTCATATGTATAGAACATTCATAAGCAGCATATAAGTAAGTAAAGTGACAGCTTAAACTAAACATTAAGACTAAGGTATATTTAATGTTAAGCTATACTTCCTTGCTGCTTGTGAATGTCCTATAAATGTATTATAAAGGCATCATGAATCATGAAGGTGCAGTTAATGTAAAACTTTACCTAACATAATCAATATAATTAATACATACTTATTCTCAGACTTAAAATTCCCTCAAAAATTATTAATTTATATTTTTAAATAGTTGGCTTATTATTCTATTTTTCCAGATTGATTGTAATAATTTCCAGCAATTGTACTAAACAAAGGGTTGAATCTCTTCATTGTACTGATTTACTGAATCATTGCTTTGTTTAAATTTCAAAAGTTGTGAGCAGTTCTTGTTTTTCACCAGGGTGAGATGATCGACGTTCAGTACGGAAGCACAAGAGATTTAAGTCAAGTCAATACTTCTAACCAAGGTACCAACAGAATTGCACTTTTGAAACTGGGACAAGCACCCCTAATTTATAAGGTAAGCATCTGTACGATTTAAATAAGTCCATTCTGCCATTGCAGAAATGTCTGTCGATGATTCTCTTGGATACTGACGACAATAATGTTATATAACCAATAATGGATGCACTAGAAACTCAATGACAAAAATGATGTAGATATTAAGTCTAATGCATCCCACAGACTTTATAAGACTCTATAGAACCCTATTATTTAAATCACAGTCCTCGGGGTCCGAGCACTGCTGGTTTTCCAGCCTTCCTTTACCTGTGAGCCAGGTGTGAAGCCTCTGGCCAATCAGAATCAGTAATTATCAGTAACTACCTGGGAGAACTGAAAACAAGGCCTGGATTTGGAATCGAGGTCCAGATTTGAAGAACCCTGCTATAGAACTTAAAAATAGCTGACATTAGCTCTCCTATTGCAGCAAAGATGGTAAGGCTGATTCTGTACTGTCTATTTGTGTCGGACAGATCAATGGCTGTACTCTGCTGATAGCATTTACAGATGGTATCTTGTCATATGAGTAACAAGCAAGGCTAATTAAATGAAATTAAACGGCATTACTATATTTAAAATAGTTATCAAAAAACATTATTTGAGCACTTATACAGTTTTGTTTTTTTCATATCCTGGGGAGTTAAAGGTTTCCCATACCTGGTCTACTATGTTTATCATATAAACATTACAGCTTTATCATTTTTAATGACAGGATACCTTTAAGCAACTGCACCATGCCGTTTATGTCAGCTCCATATTAAATTGTATAATCATGCATAATTTAATCAATAAGCACTTTTGAGAGATATATTTGAAGTGACTTGGTGAGTTTTCATATAGCTCAAAGGTGCGCAGAATAGTTGGTTGAAACTGTGGCACAAGCATGACCTTGTCAGTAATTCATTCCTTGTCATAATTAGAAATATCATAACTTGGCAGCTCGCCTACATTTCGGTGCAATTAAGGCAATGGCACATGTTTATAAAATGCACTCTGTGCAGATCTTTTATATGATATATACATGATATTCTTAAACCAGTGGTGGATTGAATAACCATGCAAACCATGCCAGTATCAGTAAATGAAATTGATTAGTATTAATTGAATTCAATAATTAATATTTTTATTTAAAAACCTGTAAATAAGCAAAGTGGCATCTTGTCTCTGGTGTACAGCAGCATTGGGCCCTGCCCTACGTGAAACCTGAACCAGAATCCACAGTTAGAAGGGGAAGGCATGGGTGAAAAAAAGCTATTTGTTGACGTGTTTCAGTGATAAATTTTGTGGTTTAGTGTTGCTGGCATTTTCCTATGTTTTGATTTTTCTGAGACTTTCGTCTAATCCTACCACTTATTGCTGAGGCAATACCTTTGTAGCTGTCGAGCACTCAAGACAATGCATGTTTTTACATTACGTTTTAGGTATTTAGCAAACAATTTATTTTTTTTGAAAAAACTGGGTCAGACCAGTCGGGGGTTAGAGGGCTTAACGGCAAACTCACTCTCTGCTGATTCTGAGATTTGATCTGATGATCTTCCAATAACAGGCACAACAGGTTAATCCACTGGGCCTCACACCACATACTGCATTGTCATGTATATTCATGGCTGACGTGTTAATCTGCAACGTAAATAGATTGGACACCCAGTGACAAATGCCATTAGAATCTCTGACATCTCTAACATCACACAGTTCATAAGCAGAACGCATGAATGTTTAAACTGTGGTAATGCAAAGTACACAGACATTATGGTGAAGTGTTTGTGATTGACTGAGCACAAATATTTGGATATAATGGGAAGTTTATTTGGCAGGTGAAATAGGGATTTGGGCATCCATGCTTAGCGTTTGCTATTGAGCATGACTAAATAATTTTTGTGACACACAGAGTCATTGAATAATCAGCATCTGGTTTCCGTTATGCTCTGGTGGACAAATTAATAAAATTTTACCTTCACCTGCTGGTCTCATTACATTGCGCATTGTGAAAAGATGAAATCATTTTAAATGTTGTTTCATCCTTTCAGCCTTTTCTGCAGAACAAATCTGAATGTCAAAGTTATACATTTTAGTTAGGAAATTCCTGACTGTTTTGTTTGTTTGTTTGTTTGTATTACCCCGTATCTTACCAGCATAAGTTCCAGTGGAAATCATCAACTTGTCCCTTTATATACAGTATATATATATATAGGCGTGTGTGTGTGTATATATATATATATATATATATATATATACTGTATATATATATATATATATATATATATATACACACACACACACACACACGCACGCTCCTCTGCTAAAGAACAACTTTCGTTCCAAACAGCTGTTCGTAATTTGAAATGTTCGTGAGTCGTTATTTAACAACATTTTAAGGGTATACGCAAGTACAAAGACCTAGGATGCTGGGAGTACGCACGCTACGCTGCTGCGCGGCGGGAGTAGCGGCCAGAAGTCGTACTAGGTGGAATTGGCGCGCAGATAAAAAAAAAAGATAGATAGATGTATAATACATATGACGTATATGATCTGTATAGTTTTACTTTTTGTGACGCTACTAGGTTCACCATACCAAACTGGTGGATCATGACAGGAACAGGAACGGAAAAGGGGAGCCCAACGAACACAATTTGGACTTAGTCCTCTTCGTTCATATGTCTGAAAGTTCGTAAGTTGAAAATTCATAAGTAGAGGAGCCTCTGTATATATACACTTATATAGTATATACACACTGTCATAGGATACCACGTTTGTCAGTTTGTGAAACTTCTTCCCTGGTAGATATTCCACTGTCAACTATAAGTGGTATTATTGCGAAGTGGAAGCGTTTAGAAACGACAGAAACTCAGCAATGAAGTAGCAGACCACGTGAAGTAACAGAGTACATAGTGAGCAAAAGTCATCAAAGCTCTGTTGACCGAATAACTGCAGAGTTCCAAACTTCCTCTGGCATTAACCCCACCACATAAGCTGTGCACCAGGAGCTTCATGGATTGAGCTGCCATGGCCATGCAGCTGCATGCAAGCCTCACATCATCAAGCAAAATATCAAGCACTGGATGGAGTGGTAAAGCACGCTGCTACTGGACTACTGGTGTAAGACAGAGCCCTGTCCTTAACCCTACTGAATATTTTTGGGATGAACTAGAATGGAGATTGTGAGCCAGGCCGTCATGTTCAACATCAGTGCCTGACCTCACAAATGCTCTTCTGGATAAATGGGCAAAAATTCCCACAGACACACTCCAAAATCTGGTGGAAAACCTTCTCAGAAGAATGACAGCTGTTATAGCTGCAAAGGGGGACCAACTCCATTAATTAGTACGGATATAGAATTGGATGTCAGATGTCGTAAAAGTTCATGTAGGTGTAATGGCCAGGTGTCCCAATAATTTTGTCCATATAGTATGTATGTATGTGTGTGTATGTGTATGTACAGAGGCATGTGAAGTACAGAGATCGCTCGTTGGCAGTGACGGCTGCAAAAGGGCACCATGGGGCAGCATTTAATTTCCTTATCTTCTCCCCAGTTCTGTGGAGGACGGTTCCGTGTCCCAACTGGGGCATTCAGTAGCTGCCAGCAGCTTTCTGTTCTCCCTGGATGACCATGAAGAAGCCGTGGTAACTGGTATCCCACATGGAGTTTACGTGTGGCAGATTCCCAGTGGCCCATGGCATCATGACACTTTGAAAACATGCATGTGTTGTATTTATATATTTGTAAATTCCATTAATCAGTCTTAAACCAATCCACTGTTTCGTAAAGTACAGTCTTACAGCCAAGAGTCACAAAGAGCTTTACAATAATTTGCTGTAATGTTCATGTAGGCAATAAAGAAAAATAGAATCTAAATTGTCAATTGTTAAGAAACTGGAAAATGGTGTCTATAAATGGTAAATTGGAATTGTAAATAGTAAAATGTAAAATGGCTTTTTTGTGGTTGTCTGAAGTAAGCAATTAGGGTTTAGTGATTCAGGTTTTGGGGGTGAGAGCTGTGCAGAAAGTTGTCAGGCCGCCATTTAAAGCAGAACTGTTCTTTAGACACGTCTCTGTTCCAGGCGTCTCTCCAGGTCCAGCTGACTGTCTGGCCTGTTAGCTATGACCTTGCGGGAGTAGGAGCATAAAACAAAGGTATAGTGTTGATAAATGGTTATACAGAATTATGATAAGCATCTGAATGTTTTATTTATTTATTTGTTTGTCTATCTATCTATCTATCTATCTATCTATCTATCTATCTATCTATCTATCTATCATCTATCTATCTATCTATCTATCTATCTATCTATCTATCTATCTATCTATCTATCTATCTGTACTAGATAGCCTTCCTCAGTCTTGTGCAGGAGTGTCCCAGTGACACCATTATTGGAAGAAATTCCCATTATGTTCATTGTTTCTGGCAGTATTTTAATTAACGTTACGATTATTTTTTAAGGTGACTTGTGGTTTAAGCCATTAGGTGAGATACAGTACAAATTAAGTTTCTCTCCTTGGATTGGGTGAAGTAGAGGGGGTGAGGTCAGGGGCGGATTAACGCACAGGCTAGATATGGCTTAAGCCTAGGGGCCCCATGTGTGCCAGCCTGCAAGGGGGCCCCCATTGGCGCGGAGGGGGGCGGGGATGGGGGGCCCACAGACTACTGTAGCCTAGGGGCCTCTGTACACCTTAATCCGCCCCTGGGTGAGGTGCATGATGTCTGCATAGCATTGAAAGGTTAAGTCATGTGTGGAGTTGATGAGGCGCAATCCAAGCCGGGTTCATGCAGATAAGATTCGAATAGTAGAGGGATGGTTTCTGAGATGGCTGAATATACCGGCCTCGGTGCAGTAGGCGTGCGTGATGGCTTAACCTGTCCTGAGAAGAGCTGACAGTATCAGATGCTGTACAGAGGTCCAGATGACTGAGAACAGAAGAGAAAAAAGGCAGTTCATGGGGAAGAGCGCCAGGCAAGCAGGCAAGCTGTTCTTCTCGGAATTTATACAAGTGTCACAAGCAAGACTGGGACAACTTAAATAAGAATATTAAATGTCCTGAAAGGCAGATGGGGTCTGGCTGAGCCAGATAGATCACATGTGAACTTGACTGGTTCTAGTGCAATGAGGAGGAAAATGTATACAGCTCTGAAGGGTGTGTGAGTGTGTGTGTGTGTGTGTGTGTGTGTGTGTGTGTGTGAGGGGGTTAAAGCTGCCTAAGTGAGATATGGTTGAAGGGTGGACGATAAGTTACAACAGATAGATATACTGTACATGTGATGTGCTTCTCATGTTTATATTTGGAGATAAGGTGGATGCTATGGAATACAAGCAGAATGTGAATCTGAATGGGAAGAGCTGATTATAATCTGCAGTTTCAAGCTGCCTTACATCAATTGGGATATGGTGGCTGAGAATGTGTTACAACATAATGGAAGTAACCGGTAAGTTTATTTAGCCAGATGTGACCAGCAGGTGCTCAGGTGACCCTGTGAGAGATGAGCTCTTATACATTGTTACTCATTTTTGCACATTAGTGAAGAAATGGAAGTTGAAAGGGTAAAATTTCAGAAGACTAAATTATGATGAAATTAAACAATCTACATTGTTGAGAGATAAATGCAAAGCTGTATAAGGTCTTTTCTTATAGTTATTTTGTTACAAACATGAATAATTAAGACCACTTGGGACTCGAGGTAAGTGGAAGATGATGGCTAAATGAGGGAAGTCATTTTAAAATCCGGTAGTTTTCAGACAGTGTCAAAGATCCAAAGAGCCTTTGATCCTTGTATAGCAATTCAGTGCTGAAAATAAATAGAAACTTAAAAAGGGTATTCGGAAAGCAAAGAAGACAGACATTAACTCAGCTTTCCCCAGTAATACGATAAAAGTCAGTAAAAGTATAAAGTTGCTCTTTACTAAATACAAACAATTAGCCTTAAAATATGCCAGGATTTTTTTTAATGGAGGTCCATAATTTAGGCTGACATAGTAACATTTTAAGCTGTAGTCAGTGTAACTTTTTTAAAAAAATATCTATTTAAGCCTATTATGTGATTTACTTGCATTGGCATTTGATATTAATAGCTCACTAGGATACACAATAATCTGTTAATCTTTTAACATTCCATACATTATTTTGTTCAAAAGGGGAAAAAGTAAAGCGGCTATATTTGGGGTAGAGAAGGTTACAATTTTGATGTGACGCTGTAAGCAAACACTGTGACCGCAAAAGATTTCTGGTAATATACTGTAGGTAAATTATGGAACTTGCAGACAGTTGGGAAGAATAAATCATAATCTGTTTAATGATACTAGACGTGCACTGTGGAATACCATATGGGGAGACAGAACCCATCTATGATAAATATCTGGGGCTGCATGAATGCCTTCATTGTTTCATTGTAGTACCTTAATGTAGCAGTCAATACGATGCATGGATACAACTGTAGGTGAAACCCAAACAGACTGGGTGTGACTGGGTGTGCAGTTTACTAGTGAAACCTCTTTAAGAGTCTCCTCCTTGACAGTGAAATGCTGGTGGAGCTGTGGGGTTTTCCTCCAAAAGTGTGTGCAGTAGGTTAATTGGCGACTCTAAGTTGCCCCCGTGAGTGTGTGTTGGCGGCTGCCCAGGGTTGGTTGCTGCCCACGCCCAATGTTCCTGGGATAGGCTTCGCCCCCCCCCCCCGCCCCCGGTTGGGGTTAAGTGGTTACGGGGGTGGGTGGATGTCACTGTGGCATACTGGATAGATAAATGTTACATGCAAACTTCATTTATGAAAATCTGCTCTCTACTCTTACCATCTCTCAAAACTGGGAGTTATTGAGAACTGAATTAATGTGCTAAATGACAGTTGCACCCTTAAATTATGTCACGTGTGCTTTTGTGTGTGTGGGAGTGTACCTGTACTCAGCATTACTTAGAAAGTCTGCTTTCCCTGTATCCGCAGCTCTCGCTTCTGGCTGATGCTGGCTTTGTGGGGGTGCTCACCTATGTTGACCCTTGTGACCTCCCCAGCCAGCAAAGTCAGGAAGATAAAGCCTTTGGCATTACTCTGAACCCGGGAGGCGACCCGTCCACTCCTATGGACCCCAGCATCTGTGAGTAGACTTCTTCTAGTCATTCAACTCTAGAGAGGAAAACAATATAAATGAAAAAGAGAGCCCTGTGTGAGAATATGACATTTAGAAATATAAAATTGGATTGACGTGTCTTTTATTTTTATCCCGGTCATTCAGTCAGTGGCTGTCAGGGAAGTGACGTCAAAGCAAGTCCAGTTGCTGTCATAAATCTTATTATTTGTGAGACCACAAACATGTCCTTGAAATACTGTTTTTTTACAGTTATATCTATGTAAACAACTTCTGTACAATGTCTGGTGCTAGTGGATTCATTATCAGTGGGCCAGATGTCTGTGAGGGACAAGTAAACAAAGTAAAATGGGGAGGCAGGTATTTTGTGCAGGTTTTCTTCATTTTGCTCAGTTTTCAAAATACAACGTTTCATGACAGAAATGTGATTCAAGAAATGCATAATTTAAGAATTACTATGCACAGAGCAGCCGTTAGCGTGGTGCAAAGGACATGAAGTCATTACCTGAAGGTTACTGGTTCCCAAGAGGGGTCTTGATGTTGTACTCTTGAGTAAGGTAATTAACCTGAATTGCTCCAGTAAAATGTCCCACAGGATAAATTACTACACCTGTAAGTCACTTCAGACAGAAGTGTCAGCTAAGCAACAGAATTTCTGTTTTTTTCTCCAGTGCATACTAATTGTATTTCTTTTTCTGTTCTTTTTACTGTTTTGACTCTAACCCGGTATATTGTGTTGTGGGGGACAATGGTGGCGGAACAGAAGCATTTGGATTGTTGGGTAGCAAGGAAAAGCATTTATAGATGAAAATAAAGCAAGAACGTAAATGCAAGAGCAGGAAAGAAAGGGCAATGCTAAATCAAAAGGAAGAAAATGAAATTTAAATGAAGCACCCGAGATACACCGCACCCGAACACAATCGCTAAAATAATCTTACGAAAAACTCACTTCAAAGGCTGTCGCATTTATGTGCTGTCAGTGATTTTGAAGCATTTCTCATTTTAGAGTATGTGTCCAAAAGATTGGTCCCTTTTCCTTGTAATTTTAGAAATTAACAATCTGCATTATTTTAGATTAAACGCATCTGGTAGATTTAATTATTCCCTCACACCTTCCCGCTTTGTGGAGTTTGCAGGTTCTCCCTGTGTTTGTTACTGTTTCCTCGAAGTATTAGTTTTTTCTAAGTGCCAGTTTTTCGAAGACATGCAGTTAAGTGAATGGGTATCTCAGAATAACAGTCTGTGATGAATACGTGCCCTACAATGAATCAAATTCGCTGCCTTGTGCCCTGTGTTACCAAAGAGCATGTGCTGGATGAGAGACTGAGAGCTGAAATTCATCTGTATATAAATTTTGATTTCCACAGTCCTTTTAAAAATTGCAAGTGTGTCATTGTTTGTTTAAATTTAGCCTTTTAATGAAATTATTTCATTAAGCTGGAAAGAAGTAAATATCCCTGTAGCTAATAATATACAGAACAGATTAAATAGATGTGCTGTTTCGTAAAAAAGACACTTTTTTAAGTATTTAATTTTTGGTTACCTAGCTGTGCCATGTGCCAAATCCAACATTATGAAAGTCCCTTAATTATTCATGAAAATTTGGAATATGCTAAATAAATTATGAAAATATTTTCAGTATATGACATATTTTTACATTTTCCTACCTAATGAAGGGAAAATCAGGGGTCAATCTTCCACGCATTAACGGTGGCTGAGAGCCAGCCAATCAGCTGCTTCCTGGATATGCCCGAGGGGAGCTGTGATTTGCAGCTGCATAAGCAGGAAGACCAGCCTGAAGGGACGTAGTTCAAGCAGGTGCTGACCAGGAGCGGAGCACTGAGCTATCTCAGAGCTAGAAAATTCTGCCCCCCCTGGCAAAATGTCACCAGGGCCCTCAGAGCATGGGGGAGGGGGGGTGTCTCCCTAAGTAGATTTTGCTGACCAGGCCCTACTGCCCCCCACCGAATCTGCCTGGGTATCCATGCCCCTTCGACGCCCCTGTCTAAGGGGACTTTAAATTGTCAGGACTGTGACAGATTCCTTAGATGTTGAAAAGAATAGACCTACAAACTGTATCATTACTTTACTTCTTGGACTCATAGTCGGATGCGTTTTTCTACTCTTAGGCTACATTTGTGATACATTTTCATTATGGGAATGAATTTAGAGCATATTTTGCTGCGATGTCTAATGGCCGAGGGAGTGTGATAAGATGTCCAGGGTGAACAACAGAATATTAATCACTCTCAGCTGGAATTTCCATGGGATCACTGAAGTTTTATATATTTTTTATCATTTATTTTAATATACCAATATTGTAACCGTGAAATACCACGCAGTATGTGAAGGACAACTGGAGAATTCAATGTGTCTGACTGTGTAACAGAATCAACCTTTCAAAAACGTCCTTTTCCATTTCTACTCTGTCCATGGGAGACACCAACTGCCTTTTAACTTCAAGTGGTTTTTACATGTTAATTTCTAGCTACTGACAGGTAGATCTATTCACAAAGAAAGGATCGTATCCCCTGAGTTATTTAGAAACCTTGTTGAAGCCGAAAGAAGCCTTTGAATAGAAATGTAGTCATTTGCATATTTATTTAAATATTCAACAGTCATGGGACTGGTGCTCAAACCTTTAATGAACAAATGCCTGCCTTCTCCATCCATGGGCTGGAATACCAAAAAGCAGCGTCGCTCCTGACAATCAAGTGCATCAACACTCCCCCTGACCTCACCCCTTTACAATTGTGCAAAGAAATTAGCTTCATCCTGCATGTCATAAGAAAAAGGGAACTGGGAAGCCACAGATGCACTGCAATATACCAAGCCGTTTAACTGTGCACATGCATACATACATTCATGTATTGATGGACAAATTCCTATTTGTATGGGTCTCATTCTGTTTTTATTTACTTATCAACCATATTCTCTGTTGGGGGGATATCGTGCTGCTGCCAACATTAACGGCAGGATCTGGTAAATTCAGTGGGTCACATGTTAGAATCTATAAAGTAGGTTAGAAAGCTTCATTGTGCTTAATTATCCTTTTAATGAAACATGAAATGTTTGAAGACTGCATTTGCATTTGTTTAAGCCCCACAATGCATTGCACTTGCAGCTTTTTAAAAAATTCTTTTTGATTTATTAATGCATGCTGCTGGTGTGAGTGGATTAGATGTCAACATTAGTTCCATGCATTTAGGGATAAACCCTTTGATGCATTTCTATCAAAAGTTCATTCATTCAGGCACATTAAAACCGCTGACATAGGGCAATATTGTGTTCAATCAATTTGGATTATTCTCCTAAACAGCATTTTCTCATTCTATGCCTTGGCTGGTTTTATTGAAAATATCAAAATAAAGAGAGATAAGAATTCAGCAATCCTCTGCATTGGTGAAAATATGCTGCATTGTGTTCCTTTGAACATATTTTAAACTTGATCACTAGCCAGAACTCCATTTCCAAAAGCCATTTATCTATCTGTTTGTTTGTTTGTTTCCAGTACTGGTTCAACTTCCAGTTACTTCCTTTATTGTGGAGGGATCATGCTGTTTGCTATTGGACCGGTCTGTTACTCCATTATAGAAGATTTAAAGCTGAAATAGGAAGTAATGAGGAAGGAAGCTGCAAACAGCTAATAAGAGATTTGTGGGAGATGCATGTTCTTCATGGGCTTGAATTTAGTTTTTTTTTTTTTGTGGGGGGGGTGAGTTTATTCTGCTTATATTGTTTACTTGTACAGCAATAGTTAAAACAGTGTAGCAATATATTTGCCAGACACACTTACACATTTATCAGAAACTGTCCTTTATCTAGGCATCATGACAGACAAATTTAACCCGAGTTAATCTTGATATGCAGAATGTTAATCCAGACCTTTCTTTTTGAGTTTAGTATTGGCTTTTAAAAATTAAATTAGCATACACTTGTTAGTCACATGGTAATTGGAGGATAGGGCCATACAACAAAAAGTCTGCCCTCTGCTGGTTGCAGAGATATTGCATTACAGTGGGCTAGAGAGTAAACCACAGAGGAGATGGTTGCAATAGAACATTTTAATTATCTGAAAATGGACAGGTTTTATGAATTGGCAGTAATTAGGGGCTTTTCATTTAAAAATGTAAACAAAGAAATGAAAACAAATTATATCAAGCCTTTTTTGAGCTCAATTAACCATTCATCTGTTGTTGCACTATTCTAAGGAGAGCTCTAAAATGAAAAATAATTTGATAGATAAATTGCTTATAGTCCTTTGTAGACACAATTTTTCCAAAGCCAGCACAATAAATCCAGAGTGGTTTGACTGTTAATAGTTTTAAACATGTCCGAAGGAAAGGCTTTTATAAGTTCCCTTTGTTAATCAGTTAAAGCATATCTTTCATAATTTCAGCTGATTGTCAGTGCTTCACACTGATGGGACTGTCAATCAATGCACATCCCATATTTGTGAAAGTGCTGCATAACATAATAATTGTTAATGTAACATGTCCATTTGTATATAGGCACTAATTTTAGGAAATTAAATGTGTCATAAACTGGAGTCTAAACAGTAACTTGGCCCTCATTGTCTATGGCACTGTACTTAAAATACTTTCTTAGCTACGTACTTACATTCAGGTCATTTGTGCTGTTCATGTGGATACCTGATTACGTTAAGCAACATAAACCACAGAAAACATACAATCAACCTCATAAAATATAAAAATCCACCTTCTTATTAAAATATAGTAGAGAAAGGGAGACTGGCGAGGGATAAACAGAGCATGATGCACTTTGCGCTTCATTACAGACGACATCCTGGGGGAATCAAAACATGCAGAGGATGGGGAATATACACTATACCTACTGGGGAGTGCATCTCTGTCTCTGGGCTGGTGCCTTAATGACCATACTTCAAAGGTATAACGAAGTCCTTTGGGCAGGCCTGAAGGCACCCGATCTCAGCTTTTCTTTCAGAAGGTCAGGACGATGCTCAGCCACTGGTAAGCACCGTAACAACC